GGAGGTCTGCATGGCATACCTGCAGCTCCCACACTCGCGCAACACTGGAGGAAGCCCCATGCTGAAGCTGGTTGCCTTCCCCGCCCCCTGCTACAGAAGTCCTGAGACTCCATGGGGAAGCAGGGGCCAGGGCTCCCCTCCACTTCTGGTGGAGTCCTGGAACCTGCATGGCAGGGGGGGGGGAACGCAGCTGGCTCCAGCGCGGGGCTGGATAGAGGCAGGCAAGGCCAGCTGCACTCCTTGCCCCCCATGCACCACTGACTGGAGCCTGCATCACCAGGCGCCAGCACAGGGCACAAGCGCCTGCGGCTGCTGCCAGCAGGAAGGGCTGTGCACCCTGCCCAGCTGAGCTCTGGAACTCAAAAATATAGTTTTTAAAAGTAGTTTTGGTACCTGTATAGGTATACAAGCTACGTATACTGACATAGGTATACAAACTATCAGAACACCACACCTCTTCCCATCCCCTCAGCCCTCCCCTAACAATCCATGATTTCTACTGATTTTCTATTGTAACCCCTGGCCTTATGTGCTACAGTATTTTAGTTTAGAGACATGGAAAGAGCTCTTGCAAACTTAATGTTTGCATCTATGTACATATACAAAGGGATCAAGAAAGGCCATTTAACTGAAGCACCCAGAACCATTCACAAGCAAGGGGCTGGTAGTTACTGAGCAGATGGTGGTTTTTCCATGAGCTGAAGAACAAGCCTCCATTATGGGTGCAGAATCATAAATATTCATAATTTGAGAGCTAAGCTAATCAAAGCTCAGGTAGAGAGAACAACACAGGAATTTAATACCATCCAGGTGGGCTCAGGATAATCCTGATCAAGAAGTACACATGATGGTATCTGCTGGAGTCAGAGGCCAAGTTCTAACACCTGTAATGACTCTGCTGATCCACTGCATCCAGTAGTACAGACCCTGCATCCCTTGCAGGGTCAAGCCCCTAATACATGAAATATTGAGCCATATTTTTAAAGTTTGACCTCAAAAGTTACAATATTTTCCCCTCATTCTTATATAGAAGAAAAATCAACCTTTACCTTCAGAGTTTTTAGTACAGTTTCATTGACTAAACGTATTTTATTTACAGTTTAATAGATTATACTAAATGTATACCTTAAGCCATGCTGTATTAAATTCAGCTGGCATTTTAAGCTGATTTATTTTTACAGAAAAACTTAATTATAATGTTTTTTAAAATTGGATTTTTAAAATGCTTTATTTAAGTAATCTTTTTTTTTATCTACTCTGGAACAGAAACACCCTTGGGTGCCTGGTACCTGGTGGCATCTGCAACATCCAATTTGAATACTGAGGCTCCATATTCAATTCCTGGTTAGAGGTAGGCAACTAAGAATGCAAATCACAAAAAAAATAAGCTGAGCAGGGAACCACTTAAGTTAGTCCACAGATTATACAAAGACTTTTGTGCCTTAAGCTCTATGCCTCTTGTGGAATTAGACTCCTGAACTCCATCCTGGAGTTGGACACAAACTGGGACTGAAACCCAGCTGCTAGGTAAGTACCCGAGCCTCTAGGCTAGAGGGTCACCCATTCTTTCCGATTCAAAGAATATTTAAGAGTTCCATCCAAAGTGAAACCGCTTTAACAAAAAGGACTGAAATATACTCAGGTGTTCCGAGGTGGGGCTCTTTGGGGCTAGGGCATAGAATCTTGGAGGTAGACATAGATTCAAATCCCCCAGTTAGATAAAGGATCCAGGCCCAGGTAAGTGTTATAAACTTTGAGCTACTATGTAAAGGGAAACTGCATCACCCACCATTAGGTGCTATAATGTTCATGGGGCTAGATACCCGAGCATCGTGTTTTTTTAATCAGTCCCTGCAAGTAGAGTAGTGTGCAAACACCTATTCCACATATTCCAAAAGGAGCTTCAGCATGTACTGGGGTAGAGCAGCTCAGCAGTATCAGGATAGAAGAGACATGCACATGTACAGCAAGAGAAATTTAAGCACTCACAGGGCTTTACCAGTAGACAGTTAAGCACTGAGAAAGACTTAGGACCTGCAGGGTTAAGTAGAGGAGCGTTACAAATGAATATGTCCAAGTATTAAGAACCTAAACAGAGCATTTAAATGCACAAGTCTCCCTTCTGAATCTAGCCACAACGTACCACTTGGATCTCAGAAGGCATTTAAACAACCCAGTGACACTGACCTGCTTTAGCTGTGGCAAGTTACAGTGCTTGATGTCTCTGGGCAATACACCTTGTAGTTGTGTGACATGGTTGACTGTCCACTTTTAGGAATAAGTTAGAGAAAGACTTGTATGGGATGGTTTGGATAGAGATGATCCTACTCAATCAGGGGGCCAACTAGGTGACCTCCAGAGGTCCCTTCCAGCCCTACTTTTCTATTATTTTAAAGTTGATAAAAAAATAAATGGAGTGTGTGTTCCTTTTTATTACAATTTCGCTGAGCTGTACTATTTACTGGTAGACCAACCTGCACATCCAAACCATTATCTTCTGTGAAGAGTTGGGCACCAAGTTCTTCTTTTTCCCATGGATCCAAGACCAATGATTTTCTGACTTTCTTACTAGAAGTGTGCTTTTTTTTTTTTAAATAAAAGAAAAAAAATTGAAAAGTTACTATAGAAGTTGACATTTTTTCCTTTCTACACTACAGTAGTTACTGCAACATTACCTCTTGCTTGCAGGTTTTATAGACAGAGTCATCTTCCTCCTTGAGGAATATGTCTGTTCCAGTTTCCTCTTTTAAAACTTCTCTGATATCTTCTTCCAAGAAGGCAAGTGGTTGCGACTAATTTTAAGTTAACACAAGGAGGAATATAGGAACACAAACAGAAAAATCAATTACTAGTTCACCGCATTAACTATATTCATTTAGATTACTACAGACATTATTATATATTCTATGGGAGGTGAGAAAACTAAGGGAATTACCAACAATTTAGCATGTACCCAATTACTACAGTTCAACTGTTGAAGGCAGAACCAATTTTAGAATATCATATTACTCCACACTGTTTTTTAGCTACATGCAATTAAATGTAAA